GTCTTTTTTTTTTTTTTTTTTTTTTTAAGCAGCTGGGTGGTTTTAATTTAGATGGCGAATTCTTATAAAAGTTCTGAAATGCAAAATAAGCGACTTGTTGTTTTGTTCACTGTGGGATATCGTCCGTCTAATTCACTTATAAATTCTTTGATGACACTTTTTGATTTCTGTCCCATGCACACTTTGAAAAATGTTCTCAAATTCCTGACACACTTCCATCCATGCTGCTGACGGAACAATTAGTCGTTCCTTAGATAAGAGAGCACTTGGTAGAGTTAGAGCATTTTTAAAATCATTCTAATCGGCAATCCAAGCAAACGATTTCTCATATCATCTTCATAATCTTGTTTTAAGAAATGTTTACTGAATATTCGTTCATATTTACTATTAACTGGGTCATTCCGTTTGCAATATTGAAGCCATTATTTACATAGTTGTTCAATTTACTTTAGGGAACACGTTTAAAATAAAAAAAATTCCTTTTGTGCTTCTATCAGAATTTTTTTAAGTTTCAATCGCGCAAACTAGCATTTCATTAACAATTTTAAATTTTTGCAAATTCACTTCACAAAACTGAGAAAAATCATTATAGGAAACAAAGAATGTCTTAGAATATGTCACAAAAAGGAATGCTCCAATATTAGTTAAAGCTAGTTAGACCGAACGCTTTGTTCTTGTAGTAAAAGCTCAAGCTTTGTGCCACCGTGACGTCACAGGTGAAAATCGGAGGTTTGGAGTGGCAAGAGTTTCTTCAAAGGAGTGAACTAACCCTTCTATTCTCTTTAGCCCTGTGATGCATCAGCCGAATGCTTTGCGAAGCAATTGTTGGATATTGGTAATGGAATGACGGCAATAGATAAATCCACCCAAAGCATTACACTGCCAACTGACTTCGGTAAAATTATTTCAACCATAGATGAACTTTTTCATAACGTTTTTCCCAATATCGCTCAAAATTACAAAAATCTTCAATGGCTCAGTGAACGTGCTATATTAGCAGCAAAAAATAGCGATGTACATGACATCAATAATCACATTCTAAAAGAAATTCCAGGTTATGCAAGAACATATAAATCTATCGATACTGTAATAGATCAAATCGAGGTTGTAAACTACCCAACTGAATTTCTGAATTCACTTGATTTGCAGGTATGCCGCCGCACGTTTTAACATTGAAAACGGGAGTAGGGTAAACTAGCCAGTGAATGAACACTTAAGCTTCGCTTGCCTTTCAAAAAATCAAATTAATTTCAAAATTCGCAATTTTAATTAAATGACAGTGTCAACATATTTATGACTATTTGCTAATTATGTAAAAAAATTGTGGAGAACTTACATAATATTGTTTCAAAGTTTTGGAGGCTCGAATAACAAGTAGTAAGAAGACCAAGAGAAGGAACAGCTCTTACTAGTGAATGAACACCCAGTAAAGGAACACCTAATTTTGGTTATTTTTTATAGCTCTTTATGAATTTATAAGCCATATAAATATTTAAAAACAAGCCTATTCTTAAAATTATAATATATAAATACTTGGAAAATGTTGACTTTTTTTGTAATCATGAATTGAAAATTAAAGTGTCAACATATTAACACATACTGTTCATTCACTGGGAAATCTATGCCCAGTAAAGGAACATGCCTGTTCCCTCACTGGTTAGAAGTTGTTTATCGTATATTTAACATACTTTTGATGCGGAACAGCACTAAAGGTACAAGAAAATGAAAGTTTATCTTTTATTTTCATTAACTTAGAAAAAAAATCAGTAAAGGAACACTTGTTCCTTCACTGATTTTTCATCGTTTGGTGATCCAGTGAATAAACACCCCCTTATCTTAGTACTTTATTATGCTATGATGCTTAAAAAAATTAAAAAGTAACTTCAATAACTATATTTTAAATTCTCTTTTTCACAGTGAGAAAAATAAAACTATTACATGCAATTAATTCCACTTCAAACATATATATATTTAATTTTAANGATAATAACAAATTCAAAAATTTTTTCAGAGAAATCTATTTGACCAGGTAATCCAAAATATTGCTAGATGACTTCCTATTGTTTGGCAGTAAGCTATTGTTACCAATCAATCTAAAGAAAAACTTTCAAATTCTTATTTTTAATGAATATATATGAGATGTTCCTTCACTGGGTAGTGTTCCTTCACTGGTTGGTTTACCCTACCTATCATTCTCCTCCGAAACATCAACCCACCCAGGCTTTGTAGCGGTTAAACTCACATCTCTATTTAAACGCCGCCAATATGCTGGTTAAAATCTTAGTGTATTTCACTATTTTCCAATTACTAATTATAGTCTCTATCCAAGTTATCATAGGAAAAATGGATCATTTATATCGTTTTGTAGTGCTCTCAAATTTAAGAATGAAACAGCTGGAATATGATGTTCTGGTGGAAAAGCAAAACTATAACAGATTTAACTTCGCCAACCGACACATTATCAACGTTGTTATCGGGTCAAGCAAATCAATTGAAACTTTTCTTGGCGAACATATGTCGATGCAATCGTGTTTCCAAATGACTTCATTCGGTGCTACAAGTATCGGTGCGCATATGGACAGCCAGAGTCATTTATTACATTCACATGCAATCCCGCTTGAGCTGAAATTAAAGAGCTTCTGTATAACCTAGGCAAACATCATCGGATCTTCATGATGCTACCACACGTGAGTTAAAACAAATATTAAGCTCTATACTTAGTTTCATTGCGAAGCGTCATGTTTTTGAAGAGACACGGTGTTTGATGCATTGTATTGAATGGCAAAAAAGAGGATTGCCACATTATTTGGCTCATAGAAAATATCACACCATGCCAAATTGGTCAGCTCAGATCAGCAGAAATACCTGATGTCGCCATTGATCCAGACTTATTTCAGATCATCATCCAAAAATTTTTTCATGGTCCGTGTGCATCACCATACATGTCTGTTTGAATATGCTCAAATGATATCCTAGAGAACTAACTGGTGAGACTATCACTGGCTTTTTCACCATTAAATAAAATTCCCATTTCAAATCATAATCGCAAATCTCATTTACACACTTATATACAAAATTCAAACTGAAAGCGTTACAGGCACGCAGGGTACAGCTAAGTTTATGCATAAAATTGATTTATAAAATTGATTGAATCCAAGAACGTATAAATCCAACCGAAATGTATTCAGGCTGATCCGTTTTCTTACACTTCTCTTTTAATGATTATGCAAAAGGCTCTTTTATAACAGAAATTGTACGGTATTAACTCGTTAGTATTGTTCTATTTTAAAGAGATTGTGCAAATGAGCTTGCGCACACATACTCAAACTTGTAACAATTGTTTCCGACAGAACTAGGCGGTGCATCTGATGTGTAAATTGAAAGGTGTATGACCTACCACTGTGTTTTATAAAAGGTATCTTTGGCATCCTTTTATAATCATGGAGAAAATTTTCTGGTAACAGAGATGCCGATTGCTCCTAATGGTACAAAATATTTTTAAAACAGCATTAGTAACAATGCAAATTTTAAGTATAACTTGAAATCTTCAGCACTTCAGAAATTTCGACGCGGTATATTTGTAATTTCAATCAATTAAATTTTTGAATTTTTTAGTCGAGGTAGATTAAAACACTATAAATCGACTTTACTAATCTAAGAATCATACTTTAAAACATACACGTTGCTACCATTGGATATCCGCAATCCGGAGCAAGTTGGCTTGTTGGAGCACTCGCTGAAGGTTTCAATTTATAATTCACAAAAATAACATCGCTTGGTCGCATTAATACGAGTATGTTTAAATGTGCTTTTGCTTTCACGATAATTTCGAGAAAACTAACCACATTAATTTTGAAAATGCTTGTATGAATGCTATTTCAAATTAGTTTGAGTATTAATTTTAAAGTAATTGAAATTAAGAAAATTTAAGTAAAAAAAATTATCTTTCAAAATCCAAAGTTATAAAACAGAGGAGGTTGTACCGAATACAGAAGAGACAGTTTTTATTTTTAAAAAATACATTTATTTCAACAATCTACAAGGCTTATATCATTTCCAATTCTCGTAACGGGTTAGTGCACTCATTAAAAAACAGTTTTATCAAAAATAAATGTGCAAATAAAATAAAAACTATCTCTCCGACGTTCCAAAATTGTCTTCTTCATTTACTGTTTTTTCGTTAAGGCTTGTGTTAGCTGGATATTCTTAGGGCATTACGGAAGATTTTAATAGATAATTAAACAGGGTTCCCACGGTTGTTGAATTGCATATATACTTTCTTTGAAAAACAATTTTTAGTGGTAGATACACAGAAATTAAATTATCGACATTTGTTTAATTTTCGTTACCACTTTTTAAAATTTACAAGACTCGCGGGAGCCCTGATAAAGATATTTTTTATCTATAATGTTTTGGATAATTTTCATTTCCCTATTATTGTTTTTTTTTTATATGTTATTATTTTTAGAGCATCTTTTCGGATTTATTTTTAGAGTATTTTTAAAAGCGATTCCCTACTGGTTGGGAACCCCTGAATTATATGATGTAACATAAAAAAAGTTAAATAAATAATAAAAAAAAATTTCTTCGTCAAATATTTGCCTCTAAGGCAGCAATCTCTTCGTTTGACACTTACGAATGAGATATGATTTCATCTCAATTTAATATGATCCTTTGTACAAAATATCTGGAAATGAGTATTAAAAAGTTTGGGAAATTATTTCAAAAATATTACTCATAAAACTTTCTATTTTATCCCTTTCAGCATATTATTCAGCTTTTTAATCTGCATGGTGGTGCTAGGAACTTCATTGGATATTCTAATCAGAAATAATCCAAATAATGATTTTGAAAAAAAGGAGAAAAGTAAGTTTTTTTTTTAAAAATAAAAATACAGTAGAACCTCGATTTATTGTTTTTCATGGGACTATTCATAGCTAATGATAGATGAGGGAAAACGACGATTGTTTGCTAACATAAAATATCAAATAATGACTTGAAAACATATGAAAAGTAATAAAAACAATAGAATTGGAAATTAAGAATTAAAAAAATTGTTTTAATTAAAAAATTAATTATGTACTTATTGTAAAATAAAGCGAAATAAATCCATTTATTTATTCAAAATATTTGGAAATCTTAGCTTCAAAACACTCTTTTATTTTCATCGCAAATAATATTTTTTCGACTTAGTAATAAACAATGTTCGGAAGTAGCTAGCACGCTACAAGTAGTGAAACTACTGTAATCGCTGATTTTTTCGTAGTTTGTAGTGTAGTGTGCTACTTTTTGTAAAAAAAGTAGTGTGGTGAGTAGAGCGATATAAAAAATGTATCGATTCCTGGCAATTACTTTTAACCTTAGTTTAGAATAGAAACACGGTTCTAACGCAACTAATTATTCGAATTAGATGAGTACAAATTTGCGTCAATGAGTACAAATTTGCGTCCGTCAATGGATGCAATGGAAATGACCCTGTTTCTGCAGCTGAGCGTTAACAGAAACGACGTATTTAAAATCACATATAATTAATATTTAAACGAAATATAGATAATTAATCACTTTGGTCTCACTTTCGCATGCGAATGCACACTCTTGAAACATTGATGTTATTTCGAAAAAGGGGAACGTATTTTCAATGCACTTAACTTCTTAAAGAAAAAAGAGCATTAATCAATTAAAAAAATGCAAGTATTCGATAATTTCGGATTTCTTACATTAAATATTCGTTTTAAGAGGCATAAAAAGTTGGTTAAGAAAAAACAAATTCGAAAAAAAGTTTTGGAATAACATTAATAAATATTTCTTTATTATTCCTTATATTTAATATTAGCCAATTTCTTATTCAAAACCCTTTTGAATATAGGTGTAAATTAAGTTCTCCGGCTAAGTACGTGTCCTTAAAGTAACAGTTACTAAATTTCAAAGTTGTTTCTAGTCACCACATTTGAAAAAAAAAGTCGTTGCAGTTGTAGTTAACTTCGTTTGTAACAATGTAGCTGTAGTTGTAGTAAACTACAAAAATAATGTAGTTTTTCTGACCACTGGTAATAGATTACTGATGTTCAATTTCTGTAATTTTGAATGATTTCAGTAAGTTCCTTATTGTTTCAAAGGCTTCAAGAATTTCCAACAATGTTTTCACCTATTGTGGTTCTGTTTCGTCATCTTCATCATCATCACTCTACATTTCTTCGGCTTTTGCAACCATTTCTTGAACAGTCAACATCACAAGTTCAATTTTTTCATCAACTGATGCATAATCATTTAATGTGCAACTTGCAGTGTCTCTTCCAAACTATAACAAATCCTCATTTTCGGCATCATTAGCATCAGAATAACTGTTTTCATTTTCAAAACAAAATAACTTCAGTGCTTGCCTTTAGAGAGCTCGACCTCTTCATGAGGTAATCCTGGTTTGAATCCCAGCGATGGCTGGTTGATACGAATTCAGCACCTGGCTTTCACTGACCACAGTGTTGACGTAAAATATCCTCATTGATAGACGGATTAGGGGGTAAGAGTAACCCTGGCATCAGGCTAACCATGAATTGTTAACGTGGTTTTCTTCCCCATGTAACGCAAATGTTTATTAGTTCCATCAAAAAGTCCTCCACGAAGGCTAATTTGACCCAATATTTTATCCGAGAGTTCCCTTGTCTTCTGGATTGGGTTCACACTTACAATGATACTGATTTGAACATTGGTAGTCGTGAGCTCAAAATTGCGTCGGCTGTTCAGCGACAGTTATAAAATTCTTGTTTTAAATGACGGTAGAATTTTTGAACGACAGTCGCGGAATATGATATTTTTAAAAAGACGGATATTATTAGCATTATATGTATGCATAATTGACGGGATCGTTAACATATGATTGTGCATACGGGTAAACGAAAGATTCGGGATCGATGGATCGAGGTTCGACAATATATTATTCATATATCATCAGCCCATTAAATATCACTTTAACTTTATTTTAATTTCCAGGTGCAGGAATAAAGGCATTATTATGTTTTTCTTTATTCACAAACTTCATTAGTCTTTTAAAGGAAGACAACAATCCAGATACTCTACACATATTCCATGGTCTTCGAGTATTGTCAATGACTTGGATAATATGGAGTCATTCATATCTTGTTGTTAGTTTCCGAGCATTTGGTAAAAAAAATTCAACCCTTTCAATGCTTATTTTGCTAATAAAAATCTTAAGTGCATTTGCGAAAAAAATAATTTAAAAAAAAATTATGAATTAAATAAGATCATAGGTGATTGAAAAAGAAAAGCGAAAATGAAGAAAATTGACGCTAATTAAAATTCTAAATTTACACAAAAATCTGTAGACGTATGAAAAAATAATGAGAATAATGCCATGTCTATTTTTGGATGAAAATTTCTTGCTCATGTTTAGGAAAATTTCCCCAACACACTTTTAAAAATAATGATCAAAGCTTTTATAAACGCTATATCCAGTGTCATGCCAAAATGAATTAAAATAGTTGTTAACAGATGAGCAGTGCAAGTAGAAATTTCCCTTATTTAACAATCATTTTAGTTATTTTCACCCGGTGTGCAGCTAATTTCTATATGTGCAAGGCTGGTAACTTTTGTTGATTGTGTATGAAATATTCTGTGAAAGGCGCGTAGTATTTGGCAGCAATGTATATGTAAAAATCAGTAATGTGTATGTATATTGTTCCACATAGCTCTTGAACAGAATTTTATTCTGTAAAGTGCCATAACAATACCATGGATATATAATTATCAATACTACATTCACTGTGTAATGAATTGTTAACTAAAATAACCTATTGCATATAAAATTACTTATACTTATCAAATTTGTGTGTAAAAAAATATGTATTAACGAGGGTATGAAGATATAAAAGATATTTATCTTTATCTGCTTTATGATCCATTGTGGGACGACGACGATCTGTAGTTCACATGATACCTGCCAAGCGGCCACAAGACCTCTTAATCTGTGATTTACCCTAGGGCAACTGGCACTGTTATCATCATCATCATCAAAATATATCTGGGCGCATGGGGCCGTTAGCGGCCTTTTTCCCATTCGTCTTGAATTGTGATCGCTAAGGTGGTTCTTTCTGGTAATTGGAATGCAATTGGAGTATAAGGGTCATTCTCACAAAAAGGTGATTTTTTATGTCCCTGAGTGATAAATATTAGGAAATACAGCATATTTCTTAATATTTTTCCTTATCATTTTTCGTGAAGTTTTTTATTAAAAAATCATATGCATTTCTGCTAAATGTATTTAATATTTCATTCTTATTTTTTAATAAGCATGACTTCAAAATCCCCTCCGTGGACGTCCCTACGTCTGTGGCACAAAATAATTTTTAATGCCTGTTAAACAATTTAAATGTTATTTTAATGATTTTTGTAGTTTTACCTAGTTAAATGTTTATAGTAACTTTTTATTTAATATTTTTT